CATTATACATATAAATTGAGAAAAAATATAGTTAAACATTATTCTTACATATAATGTATATAAAAATTTCAATTTTTTATGGAAAGAGAATTCTTATATATTATATATTATTTGTTTGCAACGGGGGTATCTGATTGAAATAAACACGACTTTTTCGCGACCATTCTCTCCACCCTTCCGCTCTTACAAAAATTTCGGTCGTCGTTCCGCGGACAGGCTCACATTCCATAAAATTCTGCGCGCGGGTCAGGGCGCATCTGTTCCGCTCGTAAATTCCAGAGGAAGTGCTGACCGATATAAGTTATTTTTCCACCCGATTTTCTTTGCGGTCGCTCGCGCAAAACTTTGTCCGAGCTCTTCGACTTTGCAAGTTTCGGCCCTACGAGAACGAGACAGCGAGATCGCGTTTACGGACGTACAGATGAAAGCGGGATAACAGAGAGGATCTCGCTCCGGCGAGATGTGACGTGCCTTGGAAATTTCGTACGTGATTCCCTACTTTGATCTCTCCCTTTCTCTCTTCTCTGGTCGTGCAATGGGATAGGTCGGCGCGATCACGACCGAAGGGGTGGAACCTCGTCGGGAGGATGCGTCGCGACGCGGACGACGGCGTGGACCGTGCCGTTGCTCGCGGTCCGGAGTTGAAGACCCGACTGATGGAAACGCACGCAGAAACTCCGGCATACTCGAGGGCGCAGGCGCCTCCGCGTCTCTCCGTTCTGTGATCCTTTCCCGTTACGCGAAAGCTTCCCCGTCGCCGCGCTGTTCTCGTACCCCGGTGGTGCTTTCCAAAGTGTCGCTGTCCTCTTCGACATCGCGCGTCTCGACCTTAGGGCGGTCACGCGCTATCTTCTCCTCTTTTCTGCTAGCTCTCTTGCATAACTGCAACTCTGAACACACATATATGATTATACGGTTTACCAAAACGGGTAACTTTGTTCATGTTTAAAATTCTGCTCCACACTTTGTATATTCTCAAATTTTACTTTATATACACACGCACATATTTTTACAAGCGCTACTTGAAAAATAATAATATTTATATTTGCGATAAAAATAATATTGAAAAAATATATGTATATATTTAAAGTAAAAATATATGCACACAGTTGGATGATTGCATAAGTTCGTGCCCGATTTTCATAGATGGCATTAAGTTACTGCATGGCCACCTGCCATATTCTCCAGATATTGCGCCTTCAGATTTTTATCTGTTCCGGTCTTTGCA